AACTTTCTCTGCGAATCCTTAAACACTAAAATAATAATATCAATACGTTCAGGAAATTAAAAGAAACTACATGAAGAAAATTGGCCGAAAACCCCAGCCTACGCACCACTGCCGGAGCCCACATACACCGCCACTAGGTGTACCTCAGTCTGCTGGTTATGGGTCTAGCCTCAGTTTTTCCAACAGGTGAATATTTTGGCCAGAATCGAAGAAGTTTGGTTCGGATTTTGGGGAACTCGCGAGATAGTTTCTTCCTCTTGCTGTCGATTTCTGCCAGATTTTGCACACCCAGTGCTCTGATAGCAGATGTAAAGAAAATGTACTCCAAGTTGCACCAAGATCCACGCTCAGTATTGATCGAATACCACAATTACCAAACCAATCCTAAAACCGTCACCTTCCCAAACTAAGTGATTGCTTCAATTTATGTAGCCCACAAAGAGCTAAATAGGGTGAAACAGATTAAGGCCTAAATCTTTAAACCACAAAGAAAAAGGGAGATGAACAGACCACCGAACAAGAGCACAAAGCTAGAAGATGGATGAATCTATTTTCTCAAAAGAAAAACACAAGGCTATAATCACTTTCATACACAACCAACAGTAATGGACAAGGGTTTAAATAGGTTAGGTTAAGGTGTGGACTTTTAGTTTAAATGATAGGCCTAATATGAAAAGAGATAAGTGGGCTAACACCTTAAAGTCATCCAAGTCATTTGGGTTGGGCCATGAGCAGCATTAATATGATTAGGGTACTTCAAATGGCCCAAGTGAATTATGTAATAAGTTTAATCGATGTGGTGTCGAAACATATTCAATCATTTGGTCGAGGCCTACTGAATAAAAGCAATACTTACATCATCACCCAGAGAGTTCGTTTGACAACAAATTTGCCTAACACTTTTGACTTGGATTAACAACTTTGGCAAGCCTTTGAAGGTGCGAGAACACGCTGGATGGAAAAGCATTACAAAGAATTGCTTGCTTCAGATACAGTTTCTGGCTGTTAAACAATCCAAAGAAATAAAGAAAAGGAAAATGAGGCTAGGGTTTCATTAATTCTACATAATGCAATTGAATACAACATAATGAATTAACCTAGAAATAAAGAGACTATATATA